CATTCCACTGTTATAGACCCTTTCGCCCAGGTTATGTCTATGGACTGCTATTTACGCCTACCGTCTTTCAACATAATGCGTCATATGCCGAAAATTGGAAGGAAGCAGATTACACCCAACCACTGGGTCCTAGACGTCATGGCTCATGGATACAAACTGCAGTTCAAGAAGCATCCCATCCTGAAATCTTAAGCCATCGGATGCAGATTTCGTCTAGTAGGAGCCAAGCTAGCGGCAGCAGATCTGGCCATCATGAAGCTAGTCAAGAAGCCAGACATTCGGAAACAATCGGAGACCAACAAGACCAAAGGCTTTTATTCTCCACTATTCTTAGTTCCAAAAAAGAATTCACCTGACATGAGGATGATAATCGACTTAAAGATCCTCAAAAAGAAATTCCTGGTACCTCCTCCAAAGTTCAAAATGGCTACCTGGACGATTCATGTTACTAGACCAAGAAGAAGCTCAGCTACACCAGAACATGCTATTTCTGGTCAAGCTTATAACCTACCTAGGCTAGTCAATCCCTCCAAGTCTGAGACCACTCCGGTTCAAGATGTCGTTTACATTGGGGCGCATTTCCAACTACAAAAGGGATATCTATGTCGACCAAAGGAGCCATTCGTCGAGCCTATTACGATGATTCAAACCTTATCAAGTCAATCCAGCAGGTCTCTAAGGTGGTGGATGTCTCTTCTAGGCAACCTAACGTCTCTACAGGATATGACCTTCAGAGGAAGGTTGATGTTACGTCCTCTGCAGAGATGGATCAACTTGCTACGATCCCACATCCTTGAGTTCAAGGCTCAGTTACGAGGGGTGTTCATTAAAGATTTCCCCTGACCCACTTCCGATGGACCTAGTGGAATGAAACTTGGCATAGGTATTAGTCTTTCTCCACATAGGAACCACCAAGAGTTACACACTTCTCCCATCGTGTTATGCAACTATGGAGACCTGGCTTGTAAAAGCCCTCATTTTGCATCTCAAACCAGGATTTGACTTCAGAAATCAGTGTTTCATCATCTATGAAACGTTTTCCCTTCAAAAATGACTTCATGGTTGGAAAGAGGTGGAAGTCAGATGGTGCAAGGTCAGGAGAGTAAGGAGGATGTGGAAGGATTTCATAGCCACAGGACCGCGCTTCTGTCTGGGCAACATGAGAGTTGTGTACTGGAGCATTGTCTTGCAGGAGACGGAGACCCTTGGTCAGCATGCCACGCCTCTTAAGCTTGATAGCATCCCGCAATTTCCGCAGCAGTGAAGCATAATAAGCTCCTGTAATTGTGGTACCCTTTGCCAAGAAATCCATCATCACTACTCCGTGCTAGTCCCAAAACACCGTAAGCATGACCTTGCCTGCAGGGGGTTGGACACGTGCCTTCTTTGGGGGTGGTGACTCCACATGCTTCCATTGCATCGGCTGAACTTTAGTCTCAGCATCAAAGTGATGGACCCATGTTTCATCCTGTGTGATAAGTCTGTCAAAAAAGTTTGCCTGTTTTTTTTGGCACATGTCCAAAAGATCCTTTGAGCAATTGACTCGTTCCTGCTTTTGGAAAGGTGTGAGCAACCTGGGAATCCATCGTGCAGACACCTTATGCATGTTCAAATTGTCATGGATGATTTTTTCCACAGACCCTACACTGATCTTGACATCTTTTGCTAAGGGGCGAATAGTTATACGTCGGTCTGCCAAAATGGCGGTCTCCACTTGATGGATAGTGTCCTCATCAATGGCTGAATAGGGGCGACCAGGAATGGCAGCTGTTTCCACAGATGTCCAACCACACTTGAACTGGCGATGCCAGTGTTTAACAACGTCATATGATGGGGCATCTTCCCCATAAGTTGCTTTCATTTCATCGAAAGTTTCTTTTGGTGTGTGACCTTTCAAATATAAAAACCTAATCACTGCTCGGTATTCTACTGGCTCCATTGTCACACCCTACTCGATCATAACACCTGTAAAAGTGGTAAGATTAATAGTGCTGCAAATTCAGACATAACCCATAGATACATGTATCATTATACATGTGAAATTTCAACCAAATATGATAACCCTAAGTGGTTTAGGGGAAATCTTTAATGAACACCCCTCGTACCTCCCCACTTTTTACGGGACCTGCATTGGTGGACTCACAGAGAGCATGGGATGAGCGGCATTCCTCTGACTTCTCCAACGCCCGGACACCATCTATTTTCAGACGCATCAGATTCGTCCATATTGACGATCTTACGGAACAAGGATCTTGGAGCACCGGAGAGAGGATCCTTCATCCTATCAAATGAAGGCCATCCCGGCATGGAAGATACGTCTCTCCCAATCGTCCATCCCCATAGCCACGGACAACATAACAGTAGTGGCATGCATTCAGAAACAAGGAGCAACCAGATCCACTTCTCTGATGATGGAGACTACACAATTGTTTGCCTTGGCAGACTCCATCAGTTGCCGGATGGAAGCGAGACATATTCCGGGGAAGCTGAACATCCTTGCCGACAGCCTTTCCCACCAGGGGATAATAGTGGCAACAGAATGGACCTTACATCCCCAGAGGGTAAGTACACCCTTGATTATCCTGTCTATTAGGTGTAGGATGGATTAGGAGCACCTTGAGTATCAACTGCTTCTAGTACTAAGTGCAGATGACCGGAAGTGACGTCACAGCCAGAAGAGATAGAATCGGAACTGACGTCATCGCCCGAAGTGAGATCATAACTGGAAGTGACGTCAGCACCGGAAATAGCATTACAAGGTCCATCTAATGAGGAAATGACGTCTTTTGGTAGAAAATAGACCATAAGAGACGTCATTATCCAATAAAAGGGAAGTGACAAACCGGAAGTGAGGTCAAAACAGGAAGTGAAGTCAGCTCCGGAAATAGTGTCACAAATTTAAACAAGAAGTTACGTCATTTGGTAGAAATAGACCAGAAATGACGTCATACTAACAAGATCAGCAAATATAAAGGTTTATTCTAGTGAAGGTCTTGCATATTTGACTGATTCTTGATGCATTCTGATTTTCAAGTCCTCAGGAGGAATTTCAGAGGAAATTATCTCGAGTCAGGATTAGAATCAGTGATTAAATGGTCCCCAGAAGAGGATAACTGTCAATTACACAGTTACTAGAGGCAGATCCCCCGGGGCCTTCTGGTATATTCTGGCAAAGATGTAATAGAGGTAGAGGATTCGCACGAATTATCGAACAAAAGTTATCATTGTTAATAATTCTAAGAATACTACCTCTATTACGTCAGATGTACTCCAACCCACCTCCCCAATTCACCTACCTCTAGTGGTAATATGTTGGAAAGAAGTGAGGTTTCACACCATTATGCACATCATAGCTTGGGTTGCTATAGTGCTATATTGGGAACAACTAATTTTGTGTGATCGACAGTGAAGAAAATCTGTAAATTTAGTTTGTGTGACTGAAACCAAAATAGAGGATTTATGGCCAATATGTAATAGAGGTACCGGTAGTATTCTTAGAATTATAAACAGTGATAACTATTGTTCAATATTTGTATGGGAGTTACAATGGTGAGAGTACTACAAATACTTTGTGAAACAAATTCAACCTTATTGCTACATCTGAGAACATCAGGGATGTGAAATCTCTGCGGGAACACCGAAAATCATGTTTTTTAGTCCTTGGAAAAAATTATCTTCCTCGTAAAGTATAATAAAAGATATTAAAAAAATACTCCAAAAAATATTATTGTGTTTCCGGACAACCGTCGCATATTGTCCTGTATTCGATCAGAGCTTTCAGCATCATATATGCCTTTATTATTATTAATGACACAATACTATTATCGTCGGATCATAGGTTTTTGGTCATCATTCGTTTTCTATCAAGAATACTTGCACTTTAACGTGGGGTGTGTCGTCACACAGAAATTGTAAATACTCAGAAGATGGCCTGTTTTTAAGATAAAGTTGTCTTTTGGCCTATAAGTGAATGAGATGTTTTACAGCTGTTCATGTGATTAACGAGAAAAATATGAATGTTTCTTCAGCGTCCGAAAAACAATAACACAGGGATATTTGTTGTATTAATGTCTTATGTTTGCAATGTTGTTTTATTTTTTTCAACAAAAGGTAAGTAAGCACAAGGTAGGTTTTTTCATTATGCTTCAACATGGGGAAAGGGTCAGACATTGCATGCTTGTGACAGTTGTCCTTATATCTGGGTGATGGGGAGGTGAAGTTTATGGATTGTATTGCTCCTAGACCCCGCGGGTAGCCAGGTGTGCATAAGCTATGCCCAGTTTTTTTAAAGTACTGATTTAACTTTGAAATTTTACTGCTTCCCCCATCTTTATTTGACTCGACTTTTGCCATTGACTTATTACATTTCTTGGTGTGAATGTTACCCAAACAGCACGAAATTGCTTAAAATGCAATCAATTATTTTCCTCTTTTGGGGGGAAAACCTGCTCACATCCCTGGAACATATGAATAACTGGTATCACAGCACATTAATTGTTTGTGTAAGTTGTGTTTGCAAGTAAGTGTACCAGGGTAAGAGGAATAGGCCACATAGTCCACATACATTAAGGTCACACTTCAAACACTGTTATGTGACCTTCCTAACCTAAACTGACTGAGGAAGAGGGTCATGGTACTTCCAGTGGAGCAGGTATGTGTTGAACCCCTCAGATCTTTCCATCCTAGGTTTAAGTCCCAGATTTGCCCTGTATATAATCCACTGTACCCTGCTCATGGCACTGGTTGATCCAGAGAAGGAGTATTGGAGGTGCCCCCCCACCCCACCCTCACACACACACTCTTCACTCTTCAGACTATATTTATGTTTTCTCTGATGTGTTTTATTTTGATGTGTGGAGTTACTGTAGGTGTAGTGCTAAGATCGTGTTGTTGGAAAGAGGCCTATGCGTGTTCATTTAGCTGGAATCTTGCTCAGTGTGGCATTAAAAACAAAGAAACAATCAAAACACTAACTATATCCTTGAAATATGTTGTGACAGGACCAGTCCATACCTCCGTCTGTCCGCGGGAACGTAAAGTCTGCATGGCGCACCCCACCCCTCACCCCCCTCCAGCACAGTCAGCGGAACTACACCCAGGAGGTGATCAGTCCCGTCCACTCCAAGGCCTCCTTACCCCAACCCCCAAGCTCCAGCCGAGGGAGAAGGATGGTCACAGGGAACATCTCAGCATCTAATTTCCCCTCGGGACACGGGGAGGAGTCACATGGATACACGTCCCAGGAGTCGGTCTGCTCCCATCATGGCCACAAATCAAAGTAAGTGGAGAGGTAGCAGGGGCCCTTATGACTAAAGTGCTGACTCGTCATGTTGAAGCTGTAACCATGGTAACCTTCTGTGATGTCATATGACTGTCTGACGTTCTGAGTGGAATTGAGGGAAAACTCTAAATGCAAAAATCATTTACTCAAATATGAACACACTTACCTATAGGAGTAATGATGTCAAAAACTATTGATTATACTTTAATGAAAACTGTGAACACAGTGTTTTCCCCATCTCTGTAAGTGTGAATTTGGTGTTGCTGTTTACAAGTTTACCTAGCACATTAGATGCACACTAACACCCTTCTGTTTTCAGTTGGAAAGTTAGATACTGTAAATCTTGAAATTAATGCATCTTCAATCTTATTAGTGCTAGGTAGAGCACCTCCAATAAAAACCCTTTCCTGAAAACCACACACAGTTTATATGTTTTTTTCTGTTGACTGGCATTAAGGAAGTTGAAAGGCATGTGTGATTGAGACAGGTCGGCATTTCGGGTTGTGGACAAGATTTGTGAATATTATTACAGTACAGAAAGTTTGACGTTATTCAAACCATACAAATTTAAAAAGGGTGTATCCATTGACATTTGGCATGCAAGAATTGGAACCTTCACCCAACCTAGTGGTGTGAAACTGATAGGCACAGTTTTGCCTTACTTCCCTGTCTTCCAAATGGACGCCACTGATTGCCCTGTCTTACCGCATGGTAATCTGTACAACGTTATTGCTGACTATATGGTCTTCAGGTCTTACGGTTACATCATGGTTGAAGTGTATTTATCCCACATTGATTGCCCTGTCTTACCGCATGGTAATCTGCACAACGTTATTGCTGACTATATGGTCTTCAGGTGTTATGGTTACTTCATGGGTGAAGTGTATTTATCCCACATTGTTCCGCCACCATCTTTCTGTGATGCTTTTGAAGCATTTTGTGTCAGCAAAATGTCTGGATCTGTTATAAGTCCTTTGTTAACATACATCAAAATCAGGAGCCACCTCCGGAAGTACCTCTGTATTTGTGCGATTTACTCAACTATATACTGACAAACACTTAACAGACAGAAGTTTTACTCTACAGGCAGAATCATCTTGCGATACCTTTTCTTCACTCCACATCAATGACAACTTGAACTTGACCAGATGTGTCTATAATATGTTGTGCACATACTGTGATAATGATCTGGTCCTGAAAAAAGATGCGGAAACACTAACTACGAAACTGGACTACCTTGAAAATCAAAGTTAACAAAACAATCTTTTGTTCCACGGTATACCGAAAGTTAAACAGCACGAAACAGGAAAACATTGTGAAGATTGTGTGCGAGAAATTCTGAAAAACACAATGCAAAAACAATGATGTGATTCAACGATAGTCATAAGTTTAAGTTAAATTGACTCTAGCTCACCACTACTTTGAGTCAATCAATGATACCATAGAGGGAATTTTTAGTACAAAAACGATGATGAGACTAAACTTAATTGTAATGAAAATAATCTCTATTATTTTTACTCATACGTATACCATTATTTTTAACAAAGTGATATTCAACATATTTACTAAGTTCTTCGTTCATTTTACTAGGAGACCAGACTAGAAAATCTTCTTGGTATTTGGAAAGAAACAATTGATGACCGTATTTGGTTGGTTCGACATCACTGATATAATATATACCCTGTGGTTATTCTCTCCATTTGATAATTTTGTTCCTGAGCATAAATGCTTCGATAGCTTTTTCGAGTTCTTCCTTTGATGGTTTGTAATTCTCCATTATTATATACTTATGTAAGCATTCGTTTAAATGAATGTATGATTTTTTATGTGGTACGATCTCATGATAGTAAGCAATCTATTTTTAATCTCCAACAAGTTCTTTGGTTTTGGCACGGAATAATTGACGCGCTTGTTGCCTCCCCTGTTCTATAAACTTTTTTTTCTCGCCTTTGCTAATACCACTGGTCTTAAGAGAATGTGATCGATGTGTGCTTCATTACATTGTATTTGGTGAGTTCTGACAAAACTAAACGAAACTCCTCCTCGGATATCTTACAATCAGCCATTGCTGTTGAAATATGATCCTCAATGCTGTTCAACTTTGCTTCGGCATCCAAATATTATCATGTTTTAAAGCTTTCTTTTGCAACTTACGAGAAATGAAATTTATTGCTATACCTGCCAGTCCTGAGACTCCGGCGGCTATTTCCATACCAAGTACGATAGTCGCGGCGATTATAGTTGATAATAAACCAACACCCGCTACACCGAGTCCCATGCCAGCTTTTACAAGTGCGGTGTTAACTCCGTCGAGAGCATTCACGGCTCTGCGATACTTTTTATTCAATCCAAGTCTCAACTCCCTCTCCTTCTCTATTCGATGTTTTATGTCGCTTATTTGATGTAATCGAAATCCATCAACAGTATCCATCTTTTCAGATGCTTCATCGAGCGCCGGATATAAACCCATAGTGTATATTATTATATAATATAATAGTCTTTAATTGGTCTTGCTTCAATGTTTTGAGAGTATACATCAACCTTATTAAATGTATATTATACGGCAAGAATATCTTAGTAAGAGAAATGCTGTCACTTTTAATAATTTGGACTCCCTCAAGGTTTGCAATGGGTGATGCTCCTACATAAATAATACTGCAATGTTGACGTTGGTGTTTCTTGAGCCATTTAATCGATAGACCTGGTAATATATCGAAGGCATCTTCTGGTGCATCTCCAAACAAGAATTCAATAATAAGTGTAGAAAGATCAGGTATTGCACTCAAGTTCTGTTTAATATCATTGAATTCTGTAACCAAATTTAAACTAACACTTTTTGATGCCAGCCAACTAAATAACATATGACATGGGTTTTCTGGCAGGGGAGAGACTAACACACTCTTTCGAGTAGGATCCCACTATTTATTATCTTAGTTAAATTATGTGCCTTACCCATTATCACATAAGGTGGGTTAATGACGATATTCAGTAGCCACTCAATTTTTGCTTTGATCATAGTCCATTAATTATCATCATTGTGAGTAAGATTGTATGAAGTGTTTTTATGTATTAGAGAAAACACGCTCACGAGGTTTTGGTAGACAGAGCATGCCCTGGGGAGAGGGAAAAACCAAGGGGGCGAAGCCCCCGCGGTTTTTCTTGACCCCCAGGGCATGCTCTGTCTACCAAAACCGAGGGAAAGTGTTTTTCCATACTTATAAACTGAAAAAAGAAACTTAAAACAACATTTATCAACATTTTTATGTTTCGAACATACTTTCCATTAACCTTAGGATAGCGAGTAAAATATCTGTTGCTGGCGTACGGATCTTGAAAAGGACAATCTAAAAACCAGTGAGGCTTATCAACCCCTCTGTAGCCTCGTGGTACACTCGTGGAAGTTATATTAATAAAATACCCAAGACATTATATAAAATCCCTGGGATATTATAGCAAATATGACTTGAATATCCTATAAAATCCCTGGGATATTATATAAAATCCCAGGGACATTACAACGTCCCTGTTTATGAGATTTAACCCGACTGGAAAGTAAAACCTCACAATAGGTTTTAATGCCTATAGAAAGAAATCTCTTACTTAATAGCGATCCCAATGAATAGGTTTATAATGAGTTTACTAGCGTCAACATCACTTAAATCTCCTAGATTAACTGGGAATGCAACTTCTTTCCGCTTGTATACATTATCTTGTAAGTGTAAAGCGTATAACTTGCCATCGGTACCGGGTTTACCGAATCCTTCTGTGTCTCCGAGATCCGAAAGTGCAATTGTATTACATTGTCTGAGCGTTCCAGGGCCTGATGAATCAAGCATTATTTATAATATGGAGTGTTACACTCAAGTATCCTATATGTACAGGTTGATGTTTTACATCTAATACAGAAATTTTGAGGTCTAAAATAATACCCCTCTTTAATTTTTTATATTGTAATGATGAGAAAGATTCTGTTCTACCGCTATTGTATTTTTCTTCTTTGACTGGAATAGCTCTAAGCAGAGTAGAAGGACTTTCTAGTTGAATATTATCCGTTTTACTGATCTGATCAAGATGGATGCACAACTCTTAATAGGGAACTAAATCGGGTAATTTAATTCCATCCACTATATCGTTGGGTGGTATTATTCACATTTTGCCTTCAAGTCCAAGTGTTTCTGCTAAGATCTTGGTAAGAAGTAACTTCTCTTCTCCAGCGCTTAATTTCAGCATCCCATTCGACTCATTTTGTGTGAGACTAGCTCCCAAAGGTTTAAATATTTCATCATTGAGTGAGCATACGCTGTAATACCCATCAGGTATAACAATGTGAGTGTGATCAATACCTATTTCACCTATTAAAAACCTATTATTTTCTCTCGCATCATTTATATTGGTCCACCGCGGGTAATATGTTACATCGCATAGGGCGACTTCAAGTTGTCCATCCGTGTTATCGATAGTATGAAGCAGTTGAAAAGACTGGCCATTTGTTATTCCCGGGAGTGTGACATACATATTAAATATACAATAATACTATATCATAACTTAAATATGAAATCAACTTATATTACTAATCAGTCGATTTTAGTAAGTTCCTCTGGTGCTAATTTTGTTGTTGAATTCCCTGATATCTTTGAAAAATACAGGGTCACGGCAACTAGCGATAAAATGGTGCACGATTGGTTTCACAATCCGATGCAATTTTGGCAGAACCAGTTAAACTTTGCCATATGGTGTGCTACAACGGGATGTGGCATATCTGTTAATGCCCCAGGATTTAAACTATATAAGTCTGTTATATTATTTCATGTGTACTATCAGATTAGACGTATACTTAAAGAAATTAGTGCTCCATTACCGCAGGATTGAGCATGGAATGCATCAAATAATCCGTACAATAGGTGGGCATTCAAACGTATTTGTCAGGAATTTAATGTTTTTTCGAGTTAAGATTGGCGTCTGAGTGGAGTTAACCATGGTCTAGGTATTCCGTACTC